GAAAGACAAAATTACTGAACACTACTTAGGAAACTGGACGAGGCGAGAAATGAGAAACGGAACTTAATACGGCAAAACGCTTCGTTGGAGTCCCAGTAAATTTGATCTAGGAAAATTGAAATTCTACTTGCTCGCAAGTAATCTACAGTCTCTTGCCTTCCTTTACTTTCATCTGTATTTTCTGCTTTCCTGTTCGTGTACTTACATTTTGCGTTCTATTTTTTACTTTATTTTGATATCGTATTGAATCACAACTACTGGAGAATTTAAATTATTCCAAGCAGATTCGTGAGCAAAGAGAGAACAATTAAGGAAAGAAATGAAGGATAAATTTTTATTATTATTACTAAATTAGCTCTCTTCCTTTTTCATTTATTCTTAAATATAAATAACTTATTTTAGAAAATTACTTTCTCTTACCACTTCCGCTTCACATTGCAACTCTGTGTTTGACTGAAATTCATGGATAGAAGTTGATGCAACTTGACAAGCATTTCATAGAAAGCATCCCATACAGTTGTATTCATTAATAATTCAATACTCATTAAAAGTATGTTGGATTAACAAAGTTCGATATAACATTCAAAAATACTCTAAAAAACATTCAACTCTCTAGTGTTATTTATTTATCATCAATCAATATAATTATTTGACTTAAACTAGTGTGACAATATGACACTACAGATAAAAATGTACAACAAACACAGCATGTGACACCAAATGTAATAATAGCAGTTGTTTACAATAAATACCCGAGATAAAGTTCAACCACAGATGGATCTGGATTTGCTAGTTATCTCGATAATAAATTCATTATTATTTCATAAAATTCGAAATTATTACCTTTAATTGATAAATAAATTAACCTGATATTTATCAATATTAGCAATTTAATTTACTATGTCGATTAATTAATATACCTACTAATCTAGTCGAATCTCTTAAATTAAAAATAAAAAAGGAAATTTTAAATAACTTCACTCTGTGCAACTTTTAATCTCTTGTTGTATGGTTCATACACAAAGATCAAAAGGAAACCCTTTGAAAAATTTGACGTTTGTTTATTCGCACGCTTCTACATGTTTCATACGAAAAAAAAAAAGAAAGAATATTCGAATATCGACGAAAATATTACAAAAAATTTCTGCCTCTAAGCGAAATTTCTTTTTCAAATAATCCGAGTGTTCTTTTTGAAATATTGTTTACTTATGAATTTGCGGAACATGGAAGTACAGGTATATCAATGAGGCGGTTCGGAGTACGACAATCTATATGCAGGGTCTTAGTCTGAAGCTCACTCATGCGGCTTCGTGACACTGTCTGACCGGGGGATTATCGGCTTACTTGTGGCTACCGGTTGCTAGTTGGATTATTTCCACGCGCGAACGAGCGATAGGGGTAAACCTGTAGGACGATAGGGTAAACTTTTACCACACTTGATATCAACTATCTGTTATTGCTTACAACCACATGGATAATGAATAAAAGTCTACTGGTGTAATACATAGAAAACGCGCAGTGTACATTCAATAGAATACCAACGCAACCTACTGACTACCTTTCGCTGTTCATAATCTGACAAGTCTAGCCCAGGGGAAATTTAGCTTAGTCTAGTAAAACTGTTGTTTCATACGCTCGGGTTGCTGTACACGCGAGACGAGAACGATGGAATGAGAAGAATGAACATGAGAATAAGGAAGACGACAAGCTTGCCACAACGGAGGTAGGTTAGGTAAAAGCATTTGAGATCCACCCGAGTATATAACGCCATTAACGTTAACTCAACGACCTACGGTCGCGATGACGTTGCGGTCACAGCTACGTTCTTTTTAAATGACAATGGAGGCAAACACGGAGAAAATTTCAAAAAAAAAAATCAAATTATCCTGTGAACATTGATTAATCAATCTACACTTTGCCCATGAAAACAGCAAAAAAGCTATGGGATTACTACTCTAAGTAGAATAGAACATCGTCAAGTGTTTTAATTGAATTGACTATTTATACGATGATGAACTTTTATTCAATTATTTAATAATTTTCTTTTGGTGCTTTAATAAAAATATGAAATAAAATTATGTCTCATCATAATTGATGTTTATTTTTCACTTTCTCAAAATTAACTTTCCATTAGGGAGTTATTGTAATGGGGTCGATTTTTAAAATTCATAATTTTATCATATCTCTACGTTTTTAGATATTTAAAAGCATATTAAAAGGTTTATAAACGAATTTACGCACGTACAATTAAACGTACGTACGTATCAATAAAATCAGGTTGTTTTTATTTTCAATATCTCGAGAACTACTGGAGATATCGACTCCAGACAAATTCGATTTTAAAGAGAATACAATGACAAAGATCTAAAAGGCAATTAGACAAACTCGGCCCAGCTGTTTTTTGTTTATAACAAAAAGACTGTAAAATAAGTTGAATATAGAAGGCATTTGAAATAGATTTTACTTATTGAGTGATGAATATTGTTGAAAATTGATATCAATATCAGTACGATATGGTTGTCATCAATTTCATATGACTCTAAACAATTATTGTTTATAAAAATTCCAATTAGTTGTAAACAATTGAAAATAGTTTTGATTTATTGAATTATTATAACTATAATTCAATTCGATAAATATCAATAAAAAGTTTTTATGGATAACTTCATGTGATTAAACAATTGTATATTGTTTATAACAATAGCAATTTGTTGTCAGAAAAAAAACTGAAAGTTGAAATAATTATGAATTTCAATGAATGGGAAGTTCGTCGTCAAAGCATAAAGTAAGCCAAGATCCGGTTTTTTTCTATCAATTTACATGATTACTTTTGAAAAAAAAAATTCTTAAAAGTTTTTATATATTTATTTAAAAAGCTTTGCTTTTTTGATACTACTCTATTCTTGGACTTTTATACTTCTATTAATTGTAATTATCCAATCGCTATTAATCTTTCTGTCGTATTCAGACAGCTACATTAAGGAAAATTTTAACTCTAGCACTAATGGGTTTCACATTTTCTAAATGGAATGACAAGAAACTATTGCTTTTATTACAACATCGATTAGGAATGTTATCTTCGTTTTTGTCTTTGAAGATCTTTTTTTCACGATTTCTTCACATCAAAGCTTTCAAATAAGCATATTCAAAATATTGAGCTTTGATCAACAAAATGGATGCTCTATAGTAAAGACCAAATTAGACTGCGATTAAACATCGTTTAATGTAAATTTAATCATTACATACTTTTGATCAACATGAATAATGAAATAACATATTGATTGTGCTTGTCAACACAATCAAACAAAATTCTTTCGTCTGTCTTATAAATAAAACAATCAATATTTTCAACTATCCGTGTAAAGAAATTTCGTTCCTCAAAGATTTCTTGACGTTCCCCTCGTGAGATTATGGGGAACGTTTAGGGAACAAAATTTTTTTTTTTTTCTTTTTCATATGTTTGACCCGATTCCGCATTTCTATGCATCAAGACGAAGAGAATGAGTGGTCAAACTTGAAAATCGGACAACTTTGATTTTTCAACCCCAAAAAATGGCAAGTGGTACCCCTTTCCATTTTTTTAGGTCAAAAAATAAAGGTACTCCGATTTTGATGATTGAGGGCGCATTCTCTTCGTCTTGATGCGTAGAAATGCGGAATCCGGACACCGGTCAAGAAAATTCACTTTAACACCCTTAAAAACGGGTTACACTAAATACAAATTACGAATTATCATCCCCTTGACTTTAAACCCTTACAACTCATGAACGGACAGTCCAATAATTGATTTTGAGGACGTTTTGAAAAGCTTCGAATCTAAGCTAAACATGAATATCCATAAAAAGTTTTTACAAAATTTCTTTCACCGTTAAAATCACTAAAATATGAAAAAAAATCACATTTTTTTTTGAAGTTGCCAACTATTTTGGCAATTTTGAGGGTGAAGGAAATTTTTTAAACATTTTTTATGGATATGTATGTGAAGCTTAGATTCTGAAGTTTCCATACACATCCTTAAAATCATTATCAGATGATTTGTATGGGAGTTACAGAGTTCCAAAGTCGAAGTAGGGTCAAAAAATCGACTATTCTTCGACTGGGATCTTTATAACTCGTGAAAAAATGATTAAATGACGATTTTTAAGGGGTATTTTAAAACTTTAGAATCTAAGCTACAGATACATATCCATAAAAAACGTTTCAAAAATTTCCTTCACCCTTAAAATTGCCAAAATAGTTGGCAACTTTCCAAAAAAAGGTGATTTTTTTTCATATTTTAGTGATTTTAACGGTGAAAGAAATTTTGTAAAAACTTTTTATGGATATTCATGTTTAGCTTAGATTCGAAGCTTTTCAAAACGTCCTCAAAATCAATTATTGGACTGTCCGTTCATGAGTTGTAAGGGTTTAAAGTCAAGGGGATGATAATTCGTAATTTGTATTTAGTGTAACCCGTTTTTAAGGGTGTTAAAGTGAATTTTCTTGACCGGTGTCCGGATTCCGCATTTCTACGCATCAAGACGAAGAGAATGCGCCCTCAATCATCAAAATCGGAGTACCTTTATTTTTTGACCTAAAAAAATGGAAAGGGGTACCACTTGCCATTTTTTGGGGTTGAAAAATCAAAGTTGTCCGATTTTCAAGTTTGACCACTCATTCTCTTCGTCTCAATGCGCAGAATTGCGGAATCGGGTCAAACATATATAAAATTAATTATTTCACCCCTAAAATAGGGTAAAACGGGAACTTGCGTTAATTTCAGCATCAATTACGCCCTAATTATGGTTTTAACTATATCGACTTTTTTCCTTTCGTCGAGATCTTTCATATGAGCCCTCGATCAACCTCGTAGCATAATTAGCATAGAAGTTATGCAAATTTTCATGTCTTACAGCTTCTCGCCAATACATCACTATTTCATCAATTTCATTATATATATTGTATTAGCGAAATTTCTTCATACAAGCAATAACTGACAGAACATTATTTTAATTTTGCAGGACCGCCGGTTCAAATAAAAGCAGTGCTCGATGGTACAGCAAAATTGCCTTGTGACATCCGTCCACCTCAACCAAATGATTCAGCCATTTTGGTTGTGTGGTACAAAACGCCAGAACGATCTTCAGATATTATACCGATTTACAGGTAAGTTCATTAATGACTTTTTGCTAATAATCATCGCTCTATTGTACTGAGCTACTCAGCACGTGCTTTACTGAGCTATTTAGTACTTTACGTTGCCATTTAGACTACATACAAAGCGACTTTAACTCCAACATGATTAAGGGTGTGCTCATGATGCTATACGTGTGTAAACGCTGAAGAGTTCATATAGTTGAACACTACGATAATACTGGTGTTTCGACAGATCATAAAACGGGATAATCTCCAATAGTCTATAGCATATGGTACTATCTCTATTTATACGGTGTAAGTGATAATTAAAGGGTCTTTCGTTTGATCACTAACTTGACAAAAGGACTAGTTGATCCTTTGACAGTCTTATACAAAAGCTTGATGTAATATTGATTTCTGCTATCCAACAATGCTGGCAGTACAATCAATAACGAATTTGTGTATACAATCACAATATACTGTTGGAGTTTATTTTCAGTTTATATTGGAATTTACAAAGTTACACAATTTCTTTGAAATCAATTTTGCGTGATTGGAAGCGACTGGCTTACTCAATTTTCTAGTGTAATATTGGACCTTGTTCAATACCACTGTCCATGATAGGACGATGAAACATTGTAATAGAATTATAATCAATGTAAGAGATTATTTTTCATTTATTGAAATCATTCAAATACACTTGGTGGTAATTAAAAACATATAACAAAGTTTCAAAGAAATTTTTTTGAAATAAAAGAAATGTTTTAGTCAACAAAAGTTGATAGTTTTTGAGGTGAAAGCAATTTTATCAAAATCCAGCTGTACCCGCAGATTTATCCTTGATGCTAGTTCCTGCATGAAAAGTGATATCCTGCTATACTTGCTTTGCTGTGGGTGAATGAGTGGGTGTGTGTGTATATATAGAAACGTTAGATAAAACTAGATAAAATGGTTATGTTAAAAAGGTTGAAAAGAAATGTTCGATTCATTTAATTTAAATTGTTGAGTTCAAGCTAGAATGAGTAGACCAATGAGTGAGGCCAGAAAACGGATAGAATACTAAAACAAGAAAAAGCATGCATAAGAAAAAAAAATTATTATTCCCATTACTTAATTTTTTTTAAAAAAGGAACGATTCTTAGATAAAAATTCTATTTATTGTTTAGCTCCTTATATGTTTCTTTATTTATTTTTATGCTTCTTTGAGTCTTGGATAGTAATTTTAAAAAAAATTATCTTTAAAGAGCTTACATTTTGAAATATCATTTTCCTTCTTAGCAACGCAGTAGTATAGCATTACATGTAGTACAACATGTATATGTATATTTCAAAGAATAATGTAGAGTATTTTCAAGCCAGCAATATTTTGAATTCTTTCTCCTTCAAGATCTCACTTGTACATTGTCTTTATCCATCTTTGAAGCATGTCTATATTCTCTGAAGCATAAAGGAAGAGAAGATGAGCTTAATCCGGTAATTTCTCGGCGTACGCCACGACTTTCCGCTACACGGAAAGCCGCCGGATGCGATAGCAAGTTGAAAACGGCAGCCACATTTATCCTTTCCTCTTTTCTCTTCTCATTCTTGCATCAACATCACTCTACATATTATCGTTACCAATACCAAGTGGAAGCTCATTCTGACATTCCAGTTTATATCATACGTAAATAAATTGACGTTCAAGTTTGCACTAATGACGAAGTAATTTATTGTGTGTCACACATACCTGTATTTATTTGACGTTAGTACAAGGGATATGTGACATGTCATAAACAAACGCATCGTCAAGAGGATATATTCAACAACTTTTGGGATAGTTCCCATGGTAAATAATATTACAGCACCCACAGTAGTTGCCAACGAACTGCACCGTCTTCTCTTTATTCTCATCCTTGTTCTACGTTTACTAATACGCTTGGTTTCACAGGAGTGTAGATATTCGTTGTGTCTAAAAGTCATGAATATTCACTAACTACCTCCGGGAAATCGGACTAGTGAAACAATAAAAACTTGTAGACTCAAGCCAACGTGGATTATCCACATCCGTTTTACTCGTATGCTCTTGAATTTTTTTTCTGCCTTTTTATGTCTATTTTTTACAATACTTCAGTCTTCAATGACCATTCTAATTACATTCCCTTTTCTCGTGTACTTTGTTGTCATGTGTATACCAGCCAAATGTGCAATAAATGAGCCAAACGACCCTCGTTAGAGTTTTGGACAATCTTTACAACACATAATTAATTAGTCGGAAAGTTTAGGGGAGGAAACAATTGTTCGTTTTTCTAGAGAATTGAATTCATTCATTTTAGAGAGAAATATCGTGGAATATTTTTAATATTGAAAAGACTCATTAAAGAAATTGAATAAAGTATCTTTTTAAAGATATTTATGTTACATTTTTTATTTTATTTATTTATTTACTTATTTTAGTTTACTCATTCGTATCTTGTATTTAATGAGAAGAAAATTGATCAACATAAAGAAAATGCTGACCTTAAATAAATCATTTAATTAAACCTTTTGAAATAGGGTTGGTTTCTCTAAACGTCACTCTCAATTTAAACCTAAAAAAAAAGTTTTTGTGAGAGGTTCCATTTTCTTGTTTCTAAAATAAACATATTTTTTTTTTCATCATTATAAAAAAGCTCCTACGACTTTTTTTTTACTAAACTCTTTTTTTCTCTTTCATAACTACTCATTCAAATTTATAAAAAGCACTTATTATCGTTTGAAACAATGCCTACTTCAATCGCTGGGAAAAATAGAATGTCTTTATTCAAACAATATTCCAATTAATGACTGAAAAGAAAATCAACAAAAAAAATTTGTCGCGTTATCACCAGCTTTATTAACGTCTAAACTAGGCGCTTTCATATATCTCTAATTGTCAAGGGATAGAGATTTAGAAATCAATGCACGTTGAATTGCAATGCAGGTTACTTTGTCCTCGGTTCTTTCTATTCGTCTCCTTTGTGCCAAGTAATCAGCGAGCAACGTGGTACACTGATTTTCTGTAGTACTGTGCTGGTTGTTAACAATTTACCACTTTCTTTCCTCTCACTACCGTAGACTACTACAGGTAACAACGACGACGAGAACGTTGAGGTCACGCAGACGCTGTTAAATAAATTATCCAGTTTCTAATTACGCGAAAAACAGTGCAGACCTGGTCCCAGATGAGAGTCAACGGCTCCGGTTCTCTGCTTGTACAGCCACAAGGGAGTAAAAGAAGGGTGACGGGAACAAAAATAAAAAGAAAGAAAAAAAAAAGAAAATACTGTAAAGTTTACGGTGCTTTTCATTCTGGACTTTCTATTCGTATTTTTCTACTCGTCCACTGCATGTTTTTTCTTCATTGTCTGAATAAGACAAATATTGCCAACCTCACGGCTACTTTTTTCCCCCGACGTTTAGGATTTAGATGATTTTTTAGTCTATTTATCTTAATGTTCCTGTTATAAATTGATCTTTTTTCCTAATAACATGATACTTGCTTTTTCTTCCATCTGAATAAATCATGTGCCATTTTAAATGAGTACATTCAACTATCTTCTCTCGAAGTACGAGAGATAATACACTGGTCCTTACCTTCTACGCCCTGTGTTTCCCTCATAATGAATACGATACGTCTTCATTTAACTGCTTGTTTCGTGGTATCATCCGGGACACCGGTCGGCCGGATATAATGGTGAGCAACCCATCCGGGTTTTATATGTATATGTATATAGAAATACTCCTTTAGGACAACGCTGCTGGCACAGTTCAGCTAACTGAGAGTACATCTGCAAGTTCTGGTGGTTGTAAATGCGAAGTGAGGATAATGTTCTTACCACTACAACACTCCATTCTGAATTGTATCCATTTTTGCCCTTTTTCTCGTTTCGAGGCAAAGAAAATTACCCTAAAACTATGAAACTATTTTATATGCACATATCTTAGACTACAAGAAGTTATAGTTTTGTTGAAAAAAATTAGATTTATTATTATTTTAATTCCTTTCTTTAAGTTTGAAAAAAATTTCTTTCATTTAATTGATTACTTTATTTTTAAACCTACGGTCTGACTGAAATCTTATAATTTCACTTTCCCCTAAAACTGATGAATTAATAATTGTTTCCATTATCTAATAATTTGTTATAATTATTTAAGTATGATTAAGTTAATTATCCTTTATTCATTAAATTGAATGAAAAGGTAATTTTTGATTTATCATGACCTGACGTCATCTAATATTTTATTATATTTTCTTGGAGAAATAACATTTAATGAGCCAATAAAAATCCACCATAGTAACAAAACATAACATGATATAAATAAGTTTCTGAGAACAAATAAAATCTCATCAACGCTAATCAAGGGCTTTTTATATAATGAAAGGGGTATTTTGCATGTCAATGCCTTATTATTGTTCTTTTACTCCGAAAATTGAAAATTATAGTCTCATAAATACGTAATTTTTCATAACAAATATATTTTTTTATTTTACATTCTAAAGTGCACTTTAATTTAAGTTTATATTTCAAATAAAAATACTCAATTTAAATAATGATAAAAAAAAAAATTTTCTTTCCACCACCTATCATCAATATAAACATAATAATATATAATGTCCACTTTTTGTGTGATAAAAAAAATAGCAACGTGGATTTAATTACAACGGAAACGCAAGTGAAATGTAAATCTGACATAGAAATCAGGTACCTCAGATCTGTGAATATATTTACAAAAACTACAATTCTTGCATATAAGTAAAAAAAAAAAAAGTTGATGCAGACAGAAATTATTGAGCGTTGTGAGTAAAAATGTCACGTTTCTTTACGTCGATAGCCAAACATTATTTTAATGACTTTTCATGCAAGAGTGTTATATCGATAGCTATTACATGCAACTCCATCAGCATGCTTCGGTGATAATATAATACACCATGCTTATTATCAATTTATTGCGCATGGGCGCTTGATGCCATAAATGCTTGCTTTCATATTCATGCGCGTATATCTTACATCAATCATTCTACTGAGAAGAAG